AACGTAATGACGCGCGTGGTGCACAAAGCGAGATTTAGTCTGCAGTTTGATTCGCGTCCTCGCCCCCGAGCTACAGAGACGACCATGAACGCAGAAGCGCAGCGCAGGTCGGAATAAAAATGTTTCTCTGCCTATCGGTGGGTAACGGAATTGAAAGACGATGGCGATGCGACGTAGCGGGGAATCAGGTGGAGCTGATGCCCCCGCGGGCATCTCGTGCTCGGTTCATTTCACTTCTCAACGACATAATTCTCCGACAGCGGCAAAGTGCGCGTCGACTTCGCCGGTGAATAAAGTTCCATAAAAAATAAGACAATTCTAAGATCATCGTGAGAAAAAATCCGACGACGATTATCGGATAATCGACAAATAACGGATGCGAGGTTCAATATGAAGAAGACGACTTTGTGAGAATCAAAAGCACATTAGCCAAGCGAATGGCATCTCAAATATATCCTCCTTTTACACGTAATTTAATGTAAATTTTTTTAAATTTCTTACTAAAAGACGTAATCCTTAATCTCATCGAGTCCTAAATTGAATCGGTCGAGAATTGTATGGATTTTAATTCGTCGATGATGGATCCTGTTCGACTTGAATTTTGATTGATACGTGACTTTCGTTCGCGCGTGACTTGCGACTTCGCGTATATACTTAGGGAGTGCGGTATATCATGATACGGTGATGCGTCTTTTATTTTCGATGCAATAACACGGGTTGAATCGTTGATGGGCACACCCGAGCCGACACATCGGTCGTGCGCGGGATATAATCTCCTGAAAATCTATAAGTATTTCCGTTTTATCCGCAAGACCAGAGGCGATCGTCGACTTCATTTCGCGATACCGTATTGCACGTGAGGCAAATTGTGCCTCGCGCGAGAATGATTGATGCGCACAAATACGCGCGCGTCTATAAATATTTGCGAACACACGCTCGCTGAGAGTTGTTGTTTCTCCATTATACGCACATGTTACACGTTGAACCGTTCGAGGGTTCACGGCAAAATAATTCTAACTGCATTTGGTAGCGAACGGAATGTTATTCCCGCATATTCGGAATTAATCGAGAAAGAAAGATCGCTATTAAAAGAAATTTAATAAAAAAAAAAAAACTTCAAAGCATCTTAATTGTGTGCCACGGGCGATTTACGCCTCGTTGCTCGCATATTGGCATAAAATGAATTATGCTTCCTGATTATATTATTTGATATCGTTGCCACACACACATTCTATTACCGTTATATTCCTGTTATTAAAATACTTCAGTTTTTCAAGAATCATGCTTGTCGATTTTAATTGAACGTTTCGTCGAGGAAACATTTATTTTTCACACTTGTCTACTATAAATATATTTATATATATTTATTTTTTGTCTACTATAAATATATTTATTTATATATTTATTGCTTAAATATATTTATTTATATATTTATTGCTTAAATATATCTATTTATATATTTATTGCTTAAATATATCCAACGGCAGAAAATCTGGACGCATAATTTAATTACACATCATGCATTAAATCATGTGAACTCTCTTATATAAATTATTCGTTAAAATAATAGCTCTCCGAAAGTGGGATCTGATAGATGCTGGCAATCGCACTTTGCGTAACGCGCGTTCGGCAAAAACGGGCAGCAATTTAATTGCACGCATCGGTATCGTTCAAGCCGATCGTCGTCCTTATAGTGCACGTATAATTCGCGCATACGTCTGTCCGGGTGTATGTATATGGTAATCTACGGTGGTACAGCGGTAAATCGCATCGCCCACACGTCGGCTTGGCCGCAATACGCGGAGAGAAGAGTCGTCTATCTCTCTCTTCGCATCTATCTCGCGCGGCGCCACGTGATTAACGGCCATCAGCATCGCGTAGCGCGATCCGTTGGTCGAGCGCATCCCACGTCCAACACCTTCCGTTCCATTTACCTGCGACGCCGGCGAATAATAATTGTATCAAGCGTCTCGCGAATGCCTCCCCGCGGAAATTATCGATGCGATGCCAATCTACTCGGCGGCGGTAATTAATCCCGCGCGGTCCATAAGGACGGGACGCCTTCCCTCGTCTGATCGTCCACGGGACGAACAGATGGACGACGTGGGAACATCGCGCCGCGAGAAACAATGTGTATCGGAGGGATGGGATTATTGATTGTTTTTGTAACGCGAAGAGCATCGTGAATGAGAAGTTGCGGTATCGGTGCCTTCGATGATGCGCCAGCGCGAATCACGCCTTAACTGTATCGCGGGATACAACTCGTCGGCGAATGATTGATTCGGGGAGATTGTGTTAGATGATTCACTGTTCGCGTTTCTTTTTGCTGAACAAAGAGATTTTCTTGATTAATCGAAGGGTATACATTTTTGAACGTTATTGATCTCAAGTGACAAACGTTTCAAACGTAAGAAGTCATTAGCATCCAATTCTACCTGCGTGATGATAATTATATGCAAAGGGCCTCGTTTTTAATTTTCCGAATTTTTCGAATTTTTGCGAGCGAAATCATTTACATGGATTAATTAAATCGAAAGCTGCTACACGAGTATCTCAACGTTTATGCAGCTGCAAGCAGTCGCTCGTGTGGAAATGTCTCGTAAATCAAGCAACGACGGCCCTCCATTAAATGACGACACTTATAAAGTGTGAGAAACAGCGAGCGGAATCGGGTAATTTTCGCGATCGCGAGAAACGCTGATGATGCGAAGACGAAAAAGCAATACAAGTTTGCGATCGTTGCTTGACGCTAATTGATCCCCCCTCTCCTTTCTCTTAGCAAGAACATATAAATTAATTATATGTAATTATAATTATCCACTCATCTCGTTGACAACCGATGTAATCGCGATGATTCGAATTCCGTTGCGCGTAGGATAAGATAAATTTCCCCTTTCTCCCTGTGTGCGGTATTTATAATCATCTTACATATGCAACATTCTCTAGTACGATTATCAACGTATCATCCTTGTCATCGTCTAACATATTGCAGATGAAGACGAATTGGTGATATAAACCGTTACATGATGATAATTATCGTTTAATCGCCCGAGCGATGCAAACGTGCGTCTCTTTTCATTTCTTCTTAAATTCGATTTTTAATGCGAAAATAATGAGACCACATCACGATTGCTCCGAAATACGTTTTGTAGATATTACGTCAATGTACGCGGCATCAAAATTTTGTAACAAATGAATTCTAAATTAAATATAATATTAAATATAATAAATTAAAAATATATAAATATAATAAATAATATTAAATATAATATTAAAGATATAATTAAATATAATAAATTAAATATAATTAAATAAAATTAGATTACATTTACTAATGGCTCTTTGAGCAACATTTATTAATTTTAAGCGTACTTGATAAGATTAGAGTTATCCAATATACTTCATTTAAATCTTAGTATATAATCTTATTATTTTCTTGACTAACGATCATCCTGATTCACTATGTTGTTTAATCTCTCGGAATATTTAATGCGATTCTGATCTGATGTAGGCAATTTCGACCTAGACGACTCCATCATCTAGTATGCTAGAAGCATTTCGTTTTTTCAAACGACTGCTTAACCGCTGAGATGAAACGATGTTTGTTCGCTCGACCGCCTCGTAACGCAAGTAATACGCGTTTAAAATTTCCAGCGATAACGTCTCGGAAAACTACGGTCAGCTGATTCCCGCGACCCCGGGAAAATCGCAAAAGAGAGGACGATTAAACCGCACTGATAACAACGGCCGACTGCTCATAGCAATTATCATTGTTGCAACATGACCGTGATGATAAAAGTAGATAATTTCTATTGTCTTAAAACTAGTGGAACAATATAGTCTACTATTATAAAGGAGTTTAGACGTGAAGGATTTAGTGACTTGACATGAGTTGCGTGCAAATTCTCACTGCTCAGTATGCACGAAACATCTCGCGAAATCTTCATTCCTCAATCTGTGACATGGAAACATTTTGCGATCACGAGAAAAACTAGATTATATTGTAATTTAAACTCCCTTATATTTTACACTATATGCGATTAGAAAAAAAATTAAATACATAAAAAGTGCAAATACAATTAATACAAAATTTCATATGAAGAACGACTTTTCTGCCAAAGACGCAAAATGTCTATACATCACAGACACCTCTGCACAGGACTCTTGGTATGTTAAGTCATAATGAACCAAACCAGAAGAACCGAAAATAGAAAATAACGTAAACTACCGCGTAGTCAAGCGATTAAATTATCCAGCAAAATAGTAAAGACCGTAGACTGATACGGTTGTTCCGGCACGAGGTCACCGAGCGCGTGCGAATGAACCGAAAAGGTCTATAAATGGTAAGCGTGGAGGCAAGAAACCCATTCGAGTTTCACGTGAAGGTAGTAGAAGGCGAGGGTGCAGCAGCAACGAGAGATGAGTCACATTCTAGATCGTGGCACAAGCTGCGAGGAGGAAGAGAAGACCGCGGCCGTAGCTGGCCCGCGATACTCTTATTACGCCAACATTATGCGTACTCTTATTACTCCGACATTATGCATAATGCGTTGCGATCTGTGTCACTTCGGAGTTCCCATACCGCGTGCGATATATCGCGAGATCCGAGAGAGTTTCGTCTTTTTTCCTTCCTTCTTAATCGCGTTTCCAGTCACGTTCCTTCCTTCCTCGGCTTATCCCGCTTATTCGTCCTTTCGCGGAGACTTCCGTTACTGTCGTAACGAAGCTTTTTCCCGTGGAACGGCCTTCGCGATCGTCCTTGATAAAATGTAGGCTTTCAAGCTTGTACAATTTTTACATTATATTTCTCAAGAATGTAAATATCTTAATTAAACTACTTTGGAAATTTAAAATGCAAAAGAGAATTTCTTAAGCGTATGTTTCCTCGCAACGCGAAATTTATTGTCTCACAATTGAGCTTATTTTTATATTTTAAATATTATTATTTTTAAATTTTTTCTATATAATTTTATAATTCAAGATTATATATATTGTTACAGATATATCGCCATTTGGATGCTGACGGTGGTCACGCCGAGGTGTCAGGTAAGTATCTTTATATAATTGCGTATATGATAATACAAAGGGTGGAAAAATATATCCAGGACGATTTTGTCTCAAAGGCAACCAATCACGAAAACGCGGAGGTGGATGGGAACTCCGAAGATTCTGCCATCGACGATGCGACCGAGGATTATTGGGGGAGTAGCGGATCGGGACCCGATGAGGATGATTCCCCTCGAAACGAAACCAGAGAAGCGTTAACTCACGAGGCCAGCGACCACGATACTGTAAGTCACGCATCGCCAATTTGTTTCGCCTTGCGCATTTACTTATTGAAATTTATGGTAGATATTGTGCAAGAAGTCTCTCTCCGATCAGTTATTTTTCTTTGTTTCGTTATTCTTATTTCTCTCTATCTATCTCTCTCTTTCCATACTGATTTGATTCGAAAATAAAATGTATAATATAAGAAATTAAAAAATTTTAAAAATTTTACCCCAACAATAGGATATATATTACAGTCAATATTATATAAATATAATGTAGGTTTTTTCTTCGTAATTTTTTAAAAAATTATTTATATCGCGAAATTTACATTAAAAATGCAAGTCAACATCACACTTTTACTTAACACGCGTTATTATTAAATTACTGAAAACGAAAGCCGGAAAATGTTCAATAAAAGTTTTCAGAGTTCTTTTGCAGATCCAACAGATTTCTGCCAATAAACATATAATCGCGAAAATAAAATAATAAAAATGTAGGAGAAAAGACGTATGCACGCATCTGCCGTACGATATGTCCAGTTATAGTTAATTGGCGAACGGTTTTCTCGAAAGGGGATTAGAAAAAAAAAACAAGGAGTGCACTAGGGGAGTAAAAAAAAAAAAGGAAGCGTGAAACGTGGAATGATACTCGCACATCTGTTTAAGTTTCGCGTGATTCCTCGTTAGCGAGTGCTCGCGCGCAAGGCCGTACTACGGAGAAAGAACCTAGATGCAGGTGTTCTGCATCCGCTATGATTCAAGAGGAGATAAAGAAAAAAAATTAAAGAGAGAGAAAGAGAGAGAACGCCGACAGTTAACCGCGGTAAGGACGATGCCTCGATCGTCGACGCGTCCCCGATCGACCAGAAAAATCCTCCCGGACATCTACGAGGCACAATCGTCTTGCTTTCTTCGCGCGACACTCTTGCCTTGGTATATCAACGAAATTGAAAGATCCATTTGCAATGAAAATCAATTTTATCGAACGCGCTCGCTTCCCTCGTAATTTTCCCTCGTGACGAAATAGCCCTTTCTAAACGAAGGGCAGAAGGTTGCATTGGAACGAGGAGGAGGAGAGGGGGAGGATATAAAAGGCCATTCCTCCTTGATTAATCGCCCGTTTATCGATGATCTCCGGATTGCCTTTAAACTAGTCTCACGAGCGGAATCGATTCCGATTGCAAAAAAATGTGAACCAGTTTCCAATAGAATAGAGAGAAAGGGTATCGCGGCCACGTCCGTGCGCGACCTTCGTTACATCGCAAATTGCGAGCGGATGGATCGCTTCTTGCGCCGAATGATTCTCTCTGCGGGAAAAGACCCTATTATCCGCGCGAGAAATCCAGAAGCGGTTTACGAGCGTTTACGAGCGGTTCGCTGCGAAATTGGAGACAAGATCAGTTTCATCTGGGCTGTCGTTTCCGGTCATTACGATTCAGAAAGCAAAGATTGAAGTGCACGCTAAGTAGGGAGCAAATTTATTAATTAGAAATTGCAAAATCGCTTCATCCAGCAAAGAGATAAATTTCGCCGTTTCTACGTTTCTCTAAAATTATGAACCGATGACTACGAGTGATTTTATGTAATAAATGTAATAAATGTAACGGATTATTATTAATCGCTTCGAGAATTAATTTTTTCTACTCCATGGATTATAATTAATTTAAAATAATTAATAAAGATTAAAAATAAAAAAAATTTCTGAGAATTTATACTTATTTATATAATATTATATAAATCGCCTGTCAAAAATTCCAACTTTCATTGTAAAATTAATGTAAGCATTAATATCTGTTTAGCATATTAATTTTATGCATATTAATTTTTAGCAAATTAATTTTTCATCAAATTTTTTCTTTCACTTTTTCTTTCGTGCAAAATTCCACATAAATTATGTCCGGAGAGAATTTTAGCAATCTTGCATAAGGATTAAAAATAAAAATTTCTGAATTTATACTTATTTATGTAATATATAAATCGCCTATCAAATTTCAACTTTGATTGTGAAATTAACGTAAGCTTTATTATCTGTTTAGCATATTAATTTTTCATTAAATTTTTTCTTTCATTTCATGCAAAATTCCACGTAAATTATGTCCGGAGAGAATCTTAGCAATCTCGCACAATCATAATCTCGTATTCTATGTATGAGATAAGCCGTTCGAGTTATCTAAGCCATTCGCGAGCGATCTTTCTACGACTAATGACTTTCGACACTCTAACCGCGCGACCGTTAATCATAGCGTGAATGTGCATATCTCGGTGTGACTTGATCAAACGAAGTCCCACGAAGAAACGAACATTCACTCTAAAAGAAATCTCGACTGTCGGCATCATCTTTCAGAGCGTAAGAAAACGTGAAAGCCTAAACGGTTACTTAGTATATATTTCCTCCTTGAAGAAACGAGCTAAAATCGCGGATGTCGATGATTATTAAAGAAATTGTTCTTATTACGCAACATATAAAACGTACAGGATTCTATGTCGAATTGAATTTATCGCCGGATGCCAATTCTTACTAATATTTCCTCGACTTACATAGCAACCCTGATTTTCGATAAACTTATCGGAAATTGATTTATCGAGATGAGACCGAAAAAAAGACCTTTTCTTGGAAAAGGAATCCGCAAAACGGAAAACGTCGTGCGAAGAGCTTCGATGAAAATCACTCGATTGTATGCTCAACGTAAAGGGGCTTTTCGCGTTCGCTGCATTTCCTACCGCCTAGTACAGTTAAGTACCAAGGCTACTATGGTTAAGCATGGCAAGAGTCGAAGGTAATCAGCACTTATCGTTCGCATTAGGTCTCTCCCTCGTAACGCATTCCAATAAGATTGACTACGGAAGATTCAAAGATCGCCGGTTATTTCTCGCGAAACTTCCAACAGGACACCGAGAATTTCTCGTTAAAAGAATCCCCTAGTTATGAAAAAATATTCCAATTTTTTTTTAATTCATAAATGTCAATGTTTTGTTTCGATTGCATCGAGGTTTATTCCGGAAGTTGAAAAAAATTCCTCAAAAGCAAAATAGAAAGAAGACTACTTTCCTCGCCGATCCAATCGCACGGCAATCTATCGCGTCAGATGTCATGTTCGGGGAGAGAAAAGAGAACAGAGAGAGCGGGGAAAAAATATGGAAGGGAAACGAGGAGGCGGCCGGAACGAAACGGAGGTTTCTTCGTCACGGCATATGGAGGCTGTTCGCGACTTTTTATACGCATTTCGCGTTTCTATCACTAACCACGTGCTCATCCGCGTCTTGCCTTCACGGCCAATTCGTTCGAGTAAGGTGCCTGCCCGCCGGGCTCGCGACGTCCTCGCTGACAAGCGACTCGAAGCATAATCCTTCCCCTATCCCCTTCCTCCGACCCCTTCGGTCCTCGTCGGTCCCATCGTTCCGCTCGCTCTTCTTGCTCCTCTTCTTGCGCTCGGCACCCGTACGCGAATGAACGACCTCGAGGTACCCACGCTTGCCGAGAGACGAGCTCGTAAAGCGTTAGTCACGCGTTACTCGTGCTGTCCGGACTTCCTCGTCCATCGGCTTCTCCGCGTACCTTTCCGCCTCCACGGATTCTCCACCGCCGATCTCCTCCCTCTTCCGCGTATTTCTACTCTTCGTCGCGGTCTCGACCCCCGACGCTGCTTCTCGCCCTTTCTCACCGTCCGAGCGGTAGCGATTCGCACGGGTTGGGGGTTAAATCGGATCGTTAACGTAGGAGAGGTCAGGGCTCCCGCTCGACGGGATGATTTTGCATAGCTGGATCGGGTATGTACGGGAGAATATTTTGCGGCAATTCGCAATGTGCGGACTAACGGCTTTGAACCGGCAAATCACTACCTGCGACTCGTTAGCGGATTCCTCGTGTTCGTTTTCCGAACTCCCGTATGAATATCATTAGTAGCATCGGGAATTTAGCGCGGGTGTCGATTATTAGCATGAACGATCAAATTTCATCTCATCACATGCAAGCCTCAAATCGTTTTTCTTTTTTTTTACAAACGAGAAATTTATGTTAAAGTTCAATGCAAAAAAGTTGTCAATCAGATTGTAATACTTCTCTCGGTTTTTTAAAATTTTCTTTATTTTAAATATAACATTTTATGTATATGTTTAATCTCTAATCTCTCTTTTTAATAAAATTTCTTTTTCTCTTTCTCTCTCTCTGTCTCTCTTTTCTCGATATTACTTCGAGATTATAAAATAAAAAAATAATTCATCGACACAATGCGCAATAGGAGTTGTAATATACGCAATACTTGATAAAAGTATAATTACATTATACATATAAGATAAAGTACCATTATATATAAAATAAATTAATATTATAAAAAATAATCATCGCGCGCGGTTAAGTTTTGATTTTTTCTTTTAAGGAAAAATTAAATTAAAGCGTTGCAGAGATAATTTATTATAAATGTAATTGATGCACGCAATTAAATTTTGATTTGTCTTGTAAAGAAAAATATTCAAGAACTATATTTTAAGAAAAATATTAAGAATATTAAGAAAAATATTAAAGAAAAATATTATATTGCAAAGATAGTTTATTATAAAAATATTTTTAAGAATTTTAAATTAAAACTTCTAGAAGATTTAATAACGTGCATCATATTATTCAATAATGTAAATTAAAGCACATGAAGATAAACGAGTAATTAATTTTACGAGTAATAAATTAAGTAGGTTGTAATTTTCTCACCTCACGGATGCTCCGCCGTTGCTCGAAGCCTCCTGTCCTCTCCTTCCTTCGTTTTTTGCGGCTTCTTCTGCGACACTCACATACATTATACTCACTCGCGAAAACGATTAACTATCACGTGCGAAAATAGTTAATTATCGCGTACGCATTAATTAGCAAAATACTAAGATCGCGCGACACTTTGTACGGCACTCCCGACATTAATCGCGACACGTATTTTATTATCTTGCGACAGAAAATCAGCACAGAGTTATGACTGGTTCGGTACTTTGCGTCGATAATTTCACATCATTGATCTTGATATCTGTAATTTACATATCATATTACACGCGTTAGAATATTAAAGATAAATTATTAATTATTATTTAAAAAATTTATAATTTCCATATATTATGAGAAACTATTGTATTGCATATCGAATATGTAAATCCTTTAATATGTACCTATTATTATTAAATGATCAACATGCGATATTATGTTAAATGCGCAACGTTCGTTTAATATAATCATAATATCATATTAATATTCAAATTAACTAGTATAAATACATTCACACCTAATTCCGTATATTAATATATATGTGAGATAGTAAAAATTAAATTAAATTATTTGCATGTCAATGATTTATTAAAATACGTATTTTACGTTGTTTGATCGAAATTTAAGCAGCACAAGCACCTACCCATGCTATCAGTTCGAGCGTCGCGTACTGAACTGACGACATAGGGCAACCGAATGTAACACAGCGCGGATGTAAACAAAGCGCGAAATATGTCGAACATGCTGTACGTTTTTTTGTTGCTGCCATAAAATATTTAAGGAGAAACAGGATGACGGATCAGTTATGTCAACAATTAATAAATTTAATACATTTTTATATTTTAAAATGTATTAATAAATTTAATACATTTTATAAATTTAATACATTTTAATACATTTCATAAATTTGCTCTCTTATTCATTAAATGTATTAGATTTATTAAGTTTTAGCGTAATTATAATCTACATTTCCTCTTTAATATCTAGATCCTTTTTAACATACTTTTTACCCTATTATATCAAAATGATTCATCGAAATTTCATATCACAGACACGATACATTTCGAACACTTCGATACATATGCTCCCAAATATTATAGGTTGGTGATAAAATTTTTTGACATTAAAATTAATATCAAGAAACGAAAAAAATTTGTTATTAATCTATCATATATTTATTATTATTAAACGATTAATATATTAATATATATTTGTTTTTCGATAATTGATATATTATCCTCAATAGCGAAAACAATAGTCAAATTTTAAGGAAATTCAAAATGTAAGAAGAAATATATTTAATTTATTTATAATTTATAATTTATATTTAATTGTATAATTTATATTTAATTTATATTTAATTATATATTTGATTCTAATGATATTTATATTATAATTATTGCTCGTAAATATCGAAATAAATCACAATTTTTCACTTTGATTCTTATTTTAAATAAAAATATATGTATATTACACAAAATATTTCAATATATAAATCTTGTTGCAATATTTCTATGTGTCATTTACCAACGGTAATGAATGAGCTAATCAATATTTATAATTATAATGATTATGTTTAATTCGCATCTAATGATCTTCCGATATTTTTAATAAAATTTACTTTCATTTTTATTATTAATTTTATTATTAATTTTATCATTTGACATATATTTCGTGTAACCTTAATATATGTAGCTATTTTTGCAGCCTTGTTAAAAATCAATAAATTTTTCATTTTTACTTTAAATGATTAAATGATTAAATTATTTAATACATTGATGTGTTCTTTGTATATGAAATGTGATTCATGGACACAATAAACATATTAAATAATAAATCTTGAATTATTCTAAAGGGTTCTAGCAAATTATCTAATCCGCATTTGTGGTATTATTTAATTATTAAAATACTGCTTCTTTATTTTTTCCAAAAGGTCGTATACGTTGGCGATGGTGCCGCTTATGTACCAGTTCCATCGTTAAAGAACCGACCTGTGAATTCGAATCTTCAAGCCCTTCAAACACTTCAAGGCTTGCAAGGGCTTTCTACAGGAGGAGGGACAGGCGTAATCGGTGACGAGGATTGGAGGAGACATCCAGAGACCTGGGATCGCGAACATCGAAGATACAGACCCAATACAACGCGAGTGCAACGTGAGTATATAAAAACGTCTTCCTTATTTTTTCTCGTCGAATTTAATTACTTTCACAGACATAATGTGATAATATTAAGATAAGCGATCTTTGATAAACTGCAGACATTTAACTAATACTCTCAATAGTCTGTTTACGCACTTTTTTAGTAAAGCAAAGCAAACTAAATATGAAATTAGGGGGTGGAGATACAGGGTGGAGATAAGGAAATTACTCTTCAATCTGTACAATCTTCCGAGCTAATAGAAATTTCCTGTTTTGTAGGTATAGCTTTAATGGTAGCTTATATCAGATCGCTAATTCAGCGGAAATACGGTATGAAAGGGTATTGATTACGTTGATCTAGAACCAATAACAGAAATCTCTACCGATCTCTGATAGTGGATTGTTGATTCAATTTCACTCGTGATTACATTATTACGCTCTCGCGCATCAAAGTAGAAGGAATTGCTTGGAAACGTATTTAAAGCAATAGAATATTCAAACACTGCGCTCATCCGGGGGGGCGGGAAGGGAGAGGGGTCCGCTATATTCCTCATCAGAATACAAGAGCGCCGGCAAAACATACACGGTACAACATGCATTCGATCTCGGTAGGTCAGTGTGCCTCGAATGAGAAAGGCCGAGACATATGGTCGTCGCTTTAGCATGTCGAGCCGTTATTTTTCCGCCCGTTGCCCGGCAAGGAGTCCGAAACTCGCAGGCAAAGTAAGAGACTTCCCTCCGACGTGGTGTCTCGGTCGATCGACTTGGAAGAATCGCAACGCGATGTAATACGTCTCACCTCTATCGTCCCAGCCAACGCGTCCGAGAATTCAGAGTGCGATGGCTACCGTTAGAGAGGAGGCAATTAAAACGGTGTCGGAAAGTCGTACGACGCTCCTGACATCGAGGGTATGGTGCACCACCTCCGCCTAGACCTCCGATGCCCATCTCCGATCATCTCGTCGTCGTTTCGCCGCAGTCGGCTCGAGCAACGTCATCATCATCATCCCGCGCGATCATCATTATCCGCATCGTGCGGATCGCGATTGCCTCGTGGAAACTCGAGCAGATAGAACTCGGACGCGTACGTTATAGCGCCGGTATCTAATCGACGACGGCTCGTTTCTGGCTTCTTTTTTCCTTCCGGGAGGAGATTGCGACGCCGCCGCGTCGCGATGAAAATGATGTTCATGAGCGGCCATTACGCGACTTTTCTCGTTACCGATGACGATGACGTGAAGTTATGTCGTCCAGTCTGCGAAAAAATCTTTGAATGATTTAACATCGTCTCTCTCTCTCTCGAATATATCCAAGATTTTCTTTACACTTGTAATTAACTTGCGATTTTCTTTAACGAATCATCTCGTATACTTAATCTTATTGCGCTAAAAAATCGCTATTAAATCGCGTTTATGGAAATTTGTAGCAAATTTATAAGATCACTTTTATTTCTTTGCGATAAAAATGTTATCCAATTGATTAACTCTGATGAAGTAGCTTTATGATAGCGAATGATGCAATGATGTCTCGTTAAAATTCTAATCTCCATCAGCTGATGCTTTATTTTTAATCTCACATAGCGCGGCGCTAATTAATGCCAGTGGAACAAGACATTAATCGTGACCGACGCGGTATCCCGTTATGAAAGAATAGACAATGTCCTGTGAAAATAAAATTAATTTCCTACGTAGCCGTGCGCATTTATTACGCTCATCCGCCGCGATATAAAGCGGATATTTTTCCGGAGCTTTAAAGTTTTATTGCGAATAAATCTGAATACTTCGTGCATATCGCCGAGCAATCAAGCAGGTCTTATTATCTGATATTCTCAGAGAAAATTATAGCGTGTCTTCCGTAATAATGTAAATAAATAACATTTACTGGATAGAGAGAATGGTATCGCTATCAAGCCTCTCTCGTTGCGAATCCTTTTAATTGCATTTTGCGGAAAATTATACGATCGTATTGGAAATCACAATGTGAGAAAAATACTTTAACGACGCATCATTCCCCCCACGCTTATTCAACCAGAACGAAGCATCCACTCATTACATTTTTGCCATCTACAATTAATCGTTTCGTGTTTCTTAACTGAATCATTATACGCCAATTTGCTTCACCGATATACGTATTATCCATGGGATGAAGATACGATCATCTATTATATTCGTTGAACTCGATGTATATAATTAATATCGGTACCGTAAAATTATTCCAAAATTTTATTATATAAATCCTATTATATAAACTTATGTAAGATGTGCAGATTCTCACTTTTTCTTACATCGCAAGACAGAGCAGTATTCTTTTATAAAGTTTAGACGTAGCGAGAAAGGATTGAGTTATAAGCGATCGGCATAAATCTACTTCGCTCTACTTCATCCTGATAAATCATTCGACGCGCATGTATCGTAAGAAAAATCGACCGTACAATCATCCGAGCACCATTTTTGAAAAGATCGATGGACTCAGACCCTTCGGCGAGACGATCGACGATCACGTTGCTACGGCAAATTTCCTAAAACATTTGGATGAGCATGCCATTGGCAATGATGAATGTTACGCCCGGCGTATAAACCTCGTTGGTTCAATGAAGTCGTAAAGTCAAGCCGCTTGCTCTCTGCGGGAACTTGAGGCCACCCGCGGGATCATCAATTACGCGAAAGAGGGCCCATTAGGTTTAATGTATCCGCCTCGGTAACGCTCGATTCTCGTACGTCCTCGAGATCCATTTTGCTATTCCTTTTTCCTTCTACGCAATCCGCGTTTTCCACCGCGCATCCGAAATATCGACTCTTCTCCTTCCAATCATTTTTAAATCGATCCAATCAATTAGACTAACGAATACAAAAATGTGAAGATGAAAAATTAAATTTAAGACTTGCTTGTTGAGAGACTGAACATCCAAAATTTAAAATCTCGTAGTTAAATCTGATTGTGAGAGAAGATTCATGTTGAAAAATATAAAAGAAATAAGTAAAAATTTTAATATCAAAATGGTTCAAATGATACAAATCCAATAAAAAATAAGAGAAGGCTAGGAACCAAAGACGCAGATAATGGTGCGTGATAGTAATAATATATTATGACAGAAAGTTTATAAAGTTATTCAAATTACATACAATAAAAAGCGCAAAAATATATGTTTAAAGTGTGCTGTCGATGACGTTTTGACTCTCTGGGTCCTCTTCAAAATTAAATAAAAAAAACATGACATTACTTAAAAACCTTCTTTTACTTTTTATTAAAAATATAAAAAAATCTTTTTATAGTTCTTCAAAAATCTCTCGATTTTTACGGTATAAACATAGCGTGGGCATCTCAAGAGGAACCCGACAATATCCTTCGCGCTCTCGGCACGTTCGAGCAAATATCGGCGTTGCTCAACTCTTCCCATTGTCTGCCCACTGACGTTTTGCCGGACGATGAACACAAAGCACGTATCCGCAATTCTAATAAGCGTGCGTATACGTACGTGCGCCGCTCGAAAATGCGCTCGGTACATTCGCGCGAAGCGTAGGAAGAAGGTGAAACGGAACGGTTGTATCATCGGCATGTGCCTCCGGTGTAACTATCTCCCTCGCATCTCTATCTCCGTTTAATTATTTTTTTTTCCATCTCGATCCATCGCACGAGCGTTCGCGCTGATCTCCAAATTGGACTTTTTCATTTTTCTTAATCGAATCGAGAAACTAACTCACTAATTTTTAATTACTTCTAAATAGATTTTTAATAATTCCCATAATATTCGGATTCTTAATCGTTACAAGAATTTTACGTTTTTATCATTCGATTTAAGAGAGATTTAATTAATTTTGCTCATCTTATTTTCATTTTTCTTAATCGAATCGAGAAACTAACTCGTCAATTTTTAATTACTTCTAAATAGATTTTTAATTCCCATAATATTCGGATATTTAACCGCAAGAATTTTACGTTTTTTTTACTATTCGATTTAAGAGAGATTTAATTAATTTTTCTCATCTTATTTTCATTTTTCTTAATCGAATCGAGAAACTAGTTAGTAATTCCCATAATATTCGGATCTTTAACCATTGCAAGAATTTTACGTTACTTTTATCATTCGATTTAAGAGAGATATAATTTTTCTCATCTTATTGAATGCGTTTGGATACAGTCGATTAATAAAATATAATGAAGCGTTTCGAATGCGGTCAGAATTAATGTATGAAATATAATCAAGTGTGTCAGGCGAGGATGCGACGCGTCCTACGACGATGTGCGTGGGTCGAGCGTGGGTCACAGAATGAAAAGGTTGTATCATCGGTAGATACCTCGACTGTAACTATCACTATCCTCCATCAATCTCCATTCCGCTTTGCAGCCGCGACGGCGGGTTACGTCGTTGCAGTGGAAACGGCTTCTTACCACGAAGAGCGCCTATACCGGACCCCCAACTTACTTTCACTCGTCATCGACGACCGGTTTTCCACTCGTTCCTCTATCCGCGAATCTACGATTTTCCGCGCCCGGTTTCGACATGTGAATGACGACAGGATCTTCCGGTCGCGATCACAAAAGTCCACACGACGATCGATTGAAGCGGTTCGCCGATGCTCGATGTACTCGTTTCGAAGTGGAACCGGGCTCGATTAAATACGGTAACGCTATTGCGTTCTCCTGAAAGCTTTTCTCGTCTGAAAAGCTTCTTTACAACCGTAAGAGGACCGCCACTTACGTTTCTTTAAATAGAATCAATTCCTTATTGCAAACCGATGATTATCGTTATTTAATAAATCTTTTAATTTTATAAGATTATATAATTTCCATAGATTTTTTACGGTAAGTTTGTTACGTATTATTTTCGAAAGTCGATTCTTAATGAACGTAGTTTAGCGTCGATTTTTTCCGCTAGTTCGTACAATCGGATACGCAGTTTTCCCCATTCCTCTTTCGACATTCGGAGAGTCCACCTAGACCTTCTCTGTTTCGTAAATACAAGAAGATGTAGACAGAGGGTTCATCGCGCTGATGGATCAACAATGTAGCTGATATAAGTCTTCTCTTTGGATACTTTTTCTGATAGTTTGTCGAAATACTGGCGAACAGAACGCATTGAGATATATTGTATTCATCGCAGTCGTAGTTAAAACAGTCGGATTAAAAGAATTACAGTTATTATTACCTGTGAAAATCACAGTTATTATTAACTGTGCATCCAATAAAATAGAGATAAGGCTGCGGATAAACTTAAATAAATTCACAATTAAATCGTATATTTACAGATATCGAGGCGGAATGTCAAGACGACTACATGAAAATCAGAATTGGATTCAACGGATCTTTCGCCGGCCTCTTATATTCAGCAGGTAAATAATTAATAAATTAATCGCACAATAATTGAGAGAAATGAATAACAATAACTTCTAATTGTAATTCCATTTATGTTACAAATTGTTTTTCTAATGTAATTGCACAGTTATATTCTCACGATAGCGATCATACACTTTAATTAATATAATATTAATAAAAAGTTAAGTATTAATTAATTATATCTGATATGAAAATGTATAATAAATATCACGAAGTAAATAGCAGTGTCAAAAAAAACAGTTCATATCAGATTCTTTATCATATTCAGCAGAGATTCGATATAATACTGCTCCTAAAATATATGTGACTGCATAACTGACTGCATCGCTGGCATCCGCAATTATCTCGACAGACACTGATGTAAGACGAATATACGTCTGCGCTAACGAGATAATGGTGGAAATTATCGTAAAGTGATCGACCGCGCAAGAATTTTTCTCTCACTGTCGTTCATCTGTCCTGGTGAGATACTTCCGTTAGTTCGAAAGAAATGTACTAACGTATGCCTTCTAATAATGTACCTAACGCGTCGGAAAGAACTGGCGCAAAGTGATCATTTTGCGAGTCATTCGTTGAAGAGAACTTTATCGAGATGTCGAATTTTTCTGCTTGACATTAATTCTGTTGGCGAAATTTTCTTAATCGAATCGAGAAACTAACTCGTTAATGTTTAATTGCTTCTAAATAGATTTTTAGTAATTCCCATAATATTCGAGTCCTTAACCACCGCAAGAATTTTACGTTACTTTTATCATTCGAGTTAAGAGAGATTTAATTAATTTTGCTCATCTTATTTTCATTTTTCTTAATCGAATCGAGAAACTAACTCGCTAATTTTTAATTACTTCTAGATAGATTTTTAAGTAATTCCCATAATATTCGGGTCCTTAACCACCGCAAGAATTTTACGTTATTATCATTCGATTTAAGAGAGATTTAATTAATTTTGCTCATTTTATTTTCATTTTTCTTAATCGAATCGAGAAACTCGCTAATTTTTAATTACTTCTAAATAGATTTTTAGTAATTCCCATAATCTCAGTAATAAGTTATTAATCGATACTTTTCTCGACATAACGAACAAAAACTTGGATGCGATCTCAAGACGCTGAATCGAATTGAATCTAGCAAGATGACTAAAATGTCAAATTACCCTAATCTCCAACTTCCTATCACGCTAACGACTATCCTTCATATTTCCTCTCCGTCTCCGTCTCTCTTAGTTCGTCCATCTGTTCGCAAGAGAAAAATTCGCCAACATCCGCCTGTCTTCCGCGCGATGAGATTCGCACAGTCATGTTGCGCCGCGAGAAGCACCGGTTGATGTAAGGGACACATTCGAGATGCGTCTTATCATCGTATGTAGGTAGTCGCATTCCGGATGATGGAGGACAATCGCTTTTAATTGCAGGCTACTCGTATGATCCTGATTGCATGTACGTTAACGGGACGGGCCGCGACTACTATGAATTCTACATTCAGTTGAATCGGTGCGGCACCCTCGGCGAGAACACTCATCATCAGGACAGCAGGAAGAATCCTACGGTATGTAAAACAAACGAGCACGGGTGACGGATCGTTCCTTTAGCGCGCACCGGCCGACAAAGAATAATAATGATTAACAACTCGGGGGGGGAAAAAAATAATCCGGTCTTCGGGAGCACAGGAGACGGCATGCATTCTCTGATTATCAAGATAATCAGAGAAAATTAGATGTCGCGTTCGCGAGGAACGGGGACTCCGCTATTATAGTGGATTTACGTGAGAAATAAGAGTTGCGTATACGTTGTTTGCGATGCGTGCGTGCTCACAATCTTGTTTTGCAGAAAAATCTGATGTGGAACACGGTCACGGTCCAGTACAATCCATTGATAGAGGAGGAATTCGACGAGCACTTCAAAGTTACCTGCGAGTACGGCTACGACTTTTGGAAGACGGTGACATTTCCCTTTCTTGATGTCGAGTAAGTATCGATTTTTATTCAATTTTTTTTATCTTATCGTGCAGATTTAAGTAGGACACTCTAAAAATTTTAAATATTAATTTTATAATTATTTAAAAAATTAAAAAGAAAATGGCACAAGAACCAACGACTTCTTTTTAATTATTTGAGCCAAATCTCTAATTAAATTATAATTATTCACTTGTCACTTATATTTGAAAACTGAGAAATTAAATTTTTGACATAATAAACTCGGTGCAAATAAATCACTTATAATGATTATTAATGATAGTTGAACGAAAACATTCGTAAGATGCATTTTAAATATATCGTGAAAGCGTATATACGATCGATGCATCAATTAAAGGCACGGGTCATTTTATAATGCGGGGAGACCGACATGATATCGCGTAAACTCACCGATTACGCGAGATTAACGGAAGGTTTCGCGCGAGCGCCCAACGTTTACGTAATATCTACGATAATGTCTAACATCTGTGCTATCCGATGGCGCGAAGTAGGTCGTGTTGCTCGCGAGATAACGGACACGCATTCTACGCACCCACCTTGTTGCAGGGTCGCCACGGGAAATCCCGTAGTCTTCACCCTGCAGCCTCCTGAGTGCTACATGGAAATCAGATACGGTTACGGGACCACTGGAACTAGAGTGGCTGGACCAGTTCGCGTCGGCGATCCCCTGACTCTCATTATCTACATGCGCAGTAAATATGGTAAGCTTTTACGCATCGCGCTGCAAGATGCACTTTAAATCAACTGCTGTCTTGACATGTAAATCGCTGGAATAATCGCTGAAGCGAAATTAAAAAATTAAATTAAATTCCATGAGATCTAGGACGCTTCAAGGCAACAGATAAGATAATGTAGTTCGAGAAATATAAAAAAATTAAGGGTACCCGATCAACTGACTGACCCATTAAAGCCTCATTGCTTTGACAAATTTTTAAAAAATCACATATTTTATATATTTGCGATTTTATGACAAATAAATTTACATCTTGTCAGATTATTTCAAAAAATTGATCAATGTAAATCTAATCGTAAATGTAATTTTTGAATGCTTAAAATAATTATAAATAAAAAATAATAAATAAATAATTATAAATAAAATAATAAATAAATATGATTACAAAATATCGAAATTTAAGTAGCCTAACCGATGTATTCAGGGAAAAATTTCCGAGACAAATAATCTATAACATCGAAACGCGAAGCATTCTCTCTCTTGCAAATCACGGGCAACGTTACTACACATTTTCGCGTATCTTTTCTTTCTTATTCTCGCCTATATATTCCTATCTATCGCCCGGCCTAATCATACAACCCGATTCCGCCCAGGTATCATTCGATAACGGTATAAAATGAGGCAGGAGACTTTGTCAGTCGCGGCTGCAGTAAATCCGAGCTCGGTAATTTGCGAAAGATGCGGAAACGCATGTAGAGAGGAGGATACGAAAATGTGCGCGCTTCGACAGATGTCGGTGCTTTAACGAGTCAGTCTTCTGTATTTACGTCTGCGCTTATGTCATGCGAATCTATGTCAGAAGGTAAACGTCACGTCGTATCCTCTTCCTACCGCCTTTGACAAATTGGTTTCATTATTAACGACATATTTTATACGAGCTAATCCTTCACCCAGACACACATGGAACATCTTACTTAATATAATAAATCTCCATGAACGGTTCTCTCCGAGCAAATTACACTCATCGTGTTCTTTTAAAGACATAATCTCTCTTCAAATCGACACTGATTTCAATTTATGTGAACAGCTAAATTTCGTATAATTTATAATACATTACTGTTCTTTAGACACAAATTTTATTCAGTAGCTACGAATGATGAAAAACGATTATTTATGTATTTATATATTAATTTTTTTCTTATAGACGGTTTTGACATCGTTGTGAACGATTGCTATGCGCATAATGGCGGCAATAAGAGAATTCAACTGATCGATCAATACGGATGTCCGGTCGATGATAAATTGATCAGTCGGTTTCGAGGCTCTTGGTCGGAGAGTGGTTTATTCGAGACGCAAGTCTTCGCTTACATGAAGACCTTCAGGTTCACGGGATCACCGGCCCTATATATCGAATGCGATGTTCGCATGTGCCACGGAAGATGCCCGGTAAGTTAATATAGGATGTAATCGATTTTAATCTACTTATCCACTTTAATTTACTTAAGTATCACGTTGATTAAACTGCACCAGGATCATTATTCCCAAAGTATTTTGGTTATTGTATTTATCTTAATATCAATAAAATATTCAATCCTCTGCGAACTTTTTAAAATTTTCCCAATAAAATAAATAAATTAAGAAACGATCTTAAAAGGAAGCATGGGTAATTTAATTTTTAGAGGGATATTTTTACTTGTACCACTTGGAACGTATTTGTTCTCCATAAAAAGTATCACGTTCTAGTTTCATGGATATTCTTAACTTGACCGCTTTGGATTTGTTTCAGAGTCAACCTTGCCACTGGAGAAATGCGAAAAACGTAGTAAAACGATCAGTGTCGGAAATGATTGGTGGACCATCGACACCGGCAACTAGTCTGTCAGAGAACGTGAATCTCTTCCAGTCCCTTCGCGTCCTTCAGGAAGGCGAGGCAGATACGGAATTGTTCCAAAATTCCACGAGCGCTTTTCGCAGTGGTACGAATTTATGTCAAAGATGATTTGATTGACTCCAACGATTTGTGTCAAAGATGACTTTACTGTTATAACAATTATGTCAAACCGTATGCATTTATCATAATCTTATCCACTAAAAGATTTCGCTCTGTCACGTATAATAATGTATAATAAGAGAGAGGGTCGATTTTTAAATTCTCGAATATAAATTTTTTTTTCAAATCTCTTATATTAAATATATAAGTATCTCTTATATTAAATATATTAAAATTAAATATATTGCTCTAGAAAAAAAATGTACCATTGAATTTGTTATAGATTAAACAACTTCTTTCCGTCATTTTAAATTAAAGATTCATGATTATAAAATGAAAATATCTATATTCATATTTTTATAATTCATAATTATATTTTTTTTCTTTAATAATTAATAATTAATTTCTAATTAATAATTAATCTCTAATAATTAATTAATTTCTTTAATAATTAATATTTAATTTCTTAAATAATTTGTATTTTTTTTATAGGGCTTAGCGAATCTACGACCGAGAGAGTGTGCTTGAGATCTTCTGTGGCCAGTACAATAGTGGGAGTCGGCTGCGGATTCTTTTGTATCATGGCCGGCACGATACTGGTCATGTGCTCGCGAATGCGACGACACGCGCGAGAAAAATTATTGTCGGACAGCATAAGTTACATGACACATAAGGGGCGGATCAATTAAAAGTAGCGCTAGCGCGCGCGGAGAAGTCTGTTTCTTCTCTCTTTCGTCTGGTCGGCGATATCCTCGCATCTCCCTCGCATCTCTCGGAGTTATCCAGAAGAGAATGCTCTGCCGATAAGATAGAAATGCGTAATGTGTCGTTAAGATAGAAAATTATCGATATAAATGACTGAGCTATCGATAAACCGACGATATTGGCTGACAAAAGGTATAATCAGGTGACGCGACGATGATAAATTAATTTCTCACGAATCGAAAGAGTAGCAAATTTGTAAAAATTTTAGAAGGGTTTCGTGTACTACTTTGTACTTATTAACTTCTTAAGGTAAGCGTGGGATTGATATAGTGCGAAGTGCCTTACATATATTGATAGTCGTTGATAATTCAGACTCCCATGGATATAATAGGTCTCACCGATCCTTCGTGCGCGAATGCTTTTTATATATAAATAATATTCGCTGCTAATACTCTCGCTTCTCTCTTACTTATCGGAATCGATATTCATTCGTCGATTGATGTTTTGTATCGCGAATGAAATATTCGTAGCGAGTTATCGCTCGTCGATTAATAGAATTTAACCGTCGATATATTGCCACGATCTCGGTGCCGAATGTGCGATCAATGAAATAAGACTTCGATTGTTGCATCACCGTACAATTGTTTATTCGTAATTTAATGCACTGCCGAACGATTTGATGTTTTTTTTTTCTGTTGCTTATCTCGATCTCGCAGGCGGCATGTTTTGAGATCAAGACGAACGTAACGTAAGTAACGACGCTTAATTGCCGTTAATAAGATTCACTACTTATATGTTTACCTATGTGGCATTATTCACCATATTCAGGAACGTGAAAATTGATCATATGTTAATAATTGGTTCGATCATTTAATAATATCATTAAAACGATAAAATAAATAAAAGATTGTATTTTTTATAGAATTTAATAAAATAAAAAATGTGTATATATAAGCATAAGATATCAAACTAATATCAATCAAATATCAACGAATTAAACATATAATGAAAGAATTGTAAAAAAATTTGTAAAATGAACAAAATCTAATTTATATTAATATAAATATGTTTGTAAAGAAAGTCACCTGGGCACAGTGTTTATATAATAGATATAAATAATTTTGCGATTTTTTCAAATATTAATATAATTAAGAGATAACGTTGTTATATGAGAAATATAGTCATTTCATGATTTTTAAAAATTAAACAATTTCATGTCATCCGCCGTCAATCGTTATATATTTAATTTGACACAAGCAAAAATTAAATTATCTCCTTGAATCGCAATCGTTCCTGAATGTTCGTAAATAATGTATTAAGGTTTAATTGAATATTATTATATAACAAACGAAAAATATATCTAGTTTATACTTATACACACACGATATACATAACATATCGAACGTGCGAACCTTCGATAATATGAAGAAAAAGAAAGAACCAAGAAAATTACACGGAATCGCATATTGGGTGTACGGCCAGCGAGGATTAAATAATATTTTACGAAACTACATAAATGAATAAGGTGAGCCAAAGAGTCGTAGCCAATTCAGAGAGCTCATCAGAGGATTCTCTCGTCTTAATATTTATTCAGAAATTCGCTCAACTCGCCATGTAATTTTTTCCATCGTGTAAAATATTAACTTCCCCTCCTGGTTGTTTCCCTCTACACGCACATTTTTTACAATCTAATCTTAAAGCATCTTTTCATTGCTCCACATTGATCCCAACCCCTGCATCTCCCTTCCGTCTTTCGAGCGTCAAGCCAAGTATATCAGGACACAACTACTCGATTAATTATCTGTAAATATAGTCTTATATCGTGACTCATAATATTTATGACTAAGCTCGAGTGTATCAAGGTTTCCAATAAATAACAGAAGAAGATTTTGTGTTTTCTCTAACATGTGTTCTGTCGTTCATACTTCATAAGTATATTTTAATGATATTTTTTTAATATCATCTACTTTTAATAATGATTATCACGATATTAAGAAATTAAAAGTGTTTAGTAATTTACATATTAAAATTAATCCAAAAAATTTATATATTTCTTTTATAATTTATTTTATACATTCTATAGATATTTTTGTTGATATTGGATATATTAATTTTTTATAAATGTTATTTTGTTTAACTAATAATTTGTTTCGATTTAAATCATGCATTTATCGTCTGTGTATCCCTTTAAAAAGTTTCTTTCAATTACTATAATGTATCCTATCATTCGCGAAAAAATCTAGAAACTAACGCGACGAAAGCAGAAATCTACCTGCCTGATCTTGAAAAATTGGAAATGTTACAGGGCATAATGATCCCGAAACGCAACAAATCGTGTTTCTCAAACAGCGTCATTCATCTTACGAGATGGATCCGACCAAAATGCCGATCGATCCTCGCAAATAGGATGCTTCTCGATGAAAAGTGAAAACTCTACACAATATCTCATCCACAAGCCGAAACGTGACCGTCATTTATCGTTTGATCCCTCGATAACGAAAGAAAAACGCTCCAATCACCGAATGATCGGATCTCGGATTCATCCGATAAAAGAAAAATATTATACGAAAACAGTTTCCGCGTTAATCATTTACAACAATTTAATTGACGATCATTAACGAGTCAGTTCATACTTATAAAGTTGAAGACTTATGGTACTGATCGATAAGAAGGATAAGTAAGACATTGGGAGACATTGTAATATTTTTAAGACACAATTTTGATAAAAAACGCCAAAATTATATGCATTTTATATGCACGATAAATTATAATAAAATGATATAAATAATATATTTTATTATTATATAATATAATTTTTCTACTAATAATTAAAAGATTAATATCATTAAAACAAATGCACTTTTTCGATAAATATATTTGTGATACATGAGATAAAATATCTTTAATAAATGATATAATTTGATTTTACTCAACATTATTAAAAAATGATTTTGTTGGAAACAATCATCTATTCGTTTTAGATAAATCCGATTAGCTATATGTATGAAGCAAATCTCACAATGTCTCCTAATTTTTTCCGAAAAAGAGGCGTTCCCAACTTTGGACCTTATTGCGTAGCAAAAGGGCAATCAGCTGCAGTAACGAACTGTCTCGCCCGCCTACCATGCGGTAATTAATCAAGCCACAATAAATTAATTGCCGCTCCGGCAAGAATTAATTGCCATCCCAGCAATAATTATGGCTAACGCAGAAATAATTATCGTGCATCCCGGTGGTGCGTTGATCCTCGGCCGACGATAGTCCGCTCGTAATTCGATACATACGTATATCATATACAATCGATCGTTCTCCGTGCGCGCGCTTTTGTATAAATCCAATTTAATTTCAATAAAATATAATCTTTCATATAAAAAATACAAATTCTGAAACCAGATGAATTTCAATAAAATGAACGTTATTTTGTGAAGACTGTAAAAACGTTCCAGCAGATTATGTCAAAAAATATATTAAGTTCATTGTGACAATAATTCATAAATCTCAATCGTCTTTTCGCGAAACTATATATTTCATAGAAAAAAAATATTTTATAACTAATCTAAACACGTGAAAAGTGGATCAATATTGAAATTAAAAATCTGAAATGCACTTATATGTACCCGAGTCGAAATTTTTCTCTTACTTTCTCTTACTTGATATGTTCAATCTAATATATTTAATTTAATATCTTAAACACAATCAGATCACTTTCTTTCAAAATTAAATTTAAATTATTTAATAATTTTATCTAAAATTCTTCTTTTAAATCTCTAAATAAGTAATTATTATAAATAAGAAATTATTATTGCCTCTTTGAAATATAAAGTATAAATTCAATATAACACAATTTTTATAAACATACAATCTGTCAAAATCCTTCAGAGATCATAAACGTAAAAAATAGAGGGTAAAAATAGGAGCAAAATTTCGACTTGGTCAATTAAGTTGTAAAAAAATGCAAACGGAAGTTTTAATCATCCCCAGACATCCATTGTTCATTCAAAAAAGATATATATGTATACAAGAAAAGAAAAAAAAAGAAAATTAGAACCATGACTACAAGAAAAATGAAGAAAACTAATATCAAAATGAAACCTCACAGACTAATAAATGTTCGATTATCGGAGGTACTCGATTTATTTAGACGATGCCGGACTTTTGCGATCAACACACCCTCCCGATCTATTTCACTTACGGCGAGATGCGCGTACGAAGGGTCCAGCACATAACGTATCCGTTTACTTAACACGCCATCGTATGCGTAATCCCTTACGTGAGCTCGAAACATACCCCGCTATGTATATACATTCACCTAATAAAGTACAAGTGTGGAGTACCGAGATAGCGCTCGGCGGAAGTTACGTTCGGCCGCAATCGTTCTCCGGGCCACGTCGTACCCAGTTTCTCGTATTATCTTGAAGCAAGATTCCGTTAAAAGAGACCGGTGATGTACGATCGTATGACTGTAAATTGACGCGTTTTCTCGCGAAAATAAAATGAAACGAAATCTTCGTAAAACGAAGCAGAATTTGATGAAATATCGACCTTTTCTAACCGATGAATAATTATCTCATCCTTACTTTATAAATGTAATACATATATAAAACAGACTTCAAATATATTGATTACTATAAGCTTTTTTATATATCTTCCCATAAACATAAATAATTCTTTTACTTATCTCGACATTTTCATTTTTGACGCAGACTTTTGTGCCAAGATTTTAATCGTTGATTGCAGCAATATTCGAACGACTCAAAAATTTGACAAAAATGTCATCGGTCCCGACTATCATCCTTTAATCTAGAAAGTGCTTTATCTCAGCTGTACGATGCGATTGATTAAATGATATCGCTTCCAATATCGAATCGCTTCGTTGACCGTAGCTGTCTGTGTTTCTCGTTGCAGGCCATAAATAAGATTGTCGGGCGTTCGCCAGACCGCAGAGGATACCCCACCGTCAGATAAGTCTGATAGATGCACCTCAGTGATTTCCTTCGCGAATATAACTCGGACCTTCTCGCGTGATCCCACGAAATTTAGCGCCTGCGGCGCGGTACATTATTGCGATCCCGGGGCAATTTGCAACACCGGCCTTATTTAACACCGCGAATGACGAATTTGCCGGACGGTTCTCCGCCGAGGAGAAGTTTCCTAATAATGAGCGACGTGCGTCCAACGAATCTGATAAAGACTCCATTGTGGACTCCATCTGTAATTTATCTTTGCGACGCGAGGCGCGAGCAATAATGTTCGTTATTGCAATTCTCTGTATCTGCCTTATCAAACGACGGGCAATTTGTCCATCGCGTTTCTATCTAAATGTCCAATTAATAATAATTTAATTACATTACTGTTCTCTCCGACTCAACTGTCAAGCGGATCGGATTAATGATTTGTAAGGTTTAATTCTCCATAATTTATGTGCGAAGGGAAGTTAATTAAGAAAGAATTCTATCTATAGATCAGAGAGCAAAGTGTTGCTTCAATTAATTGCGTAAGCAGCGAACCTCTCTTATTTTTATGAATATAATTCGCATATCCATAATCTAGAATGTTCATGAGGTTCAAACAAAACGAAAAATAATTTCTCGCTGGAACAATAGCCGCATTTTGTTACGCGTTACAAAATTGGAAAGTTTAGTATAGTTATATAAGCTATGATAGAAAGCAATAGGAGACAGCTCTTCAAATAACCGATCTAGTGTCTTCCCTATTTTTTATGGTAAACCTCTTATCAAATCCAAATTGGCGCTTTCTTTGCCATGCTAATGCAGCTCGATACTCAAGAAATCAATATGTACTCATAGTTGCAGGGACGCAGCCTCTGGTTGGAGCAGCTCTGAGTATTTTTCAAGTTGAGATCCTTTTATTTCAGATATATTCCTTTTGTTTAATTTAAAAAACTAAAAATAAAGAATTAATAAAGAATATTATATAAAATAGATATCAATAATTTTATCTCTCATAAAAAATTGAGAAGGAAAATAGAATTTAACAAGTTAAAAAATATCCATTTAAAGTTTTTTTCAGATGAAAATGTCGATTGTTTTTCGATTTGATACATTAAGAGATTACTTTTCGAATACACTAAATGTAAATTAATCGTAATCAAAGCGAACAAAAAGATTAAGCGACATTCTATAATAGTACGACTCTAAGAAATGCAATCCTGAATGTCACGAAAGGAATTTCAGTTTGCCGTACACTTGGCACGAATGCGTCATAAATCACATTAAAAAGAATTTCCCAGAATTAATATGCATCACTAACTGTGCACAGTATAAATTATTATATCATTAAGCAAATCCATCAACACGTACTGCAAATAACACATTCACTACAATTAAAATAAAGTCTGAGATCGAGATAAAAAACAGCAGCGTAAAATTAATCAATTCGGCAAATTAAGATGTAAATTATGCAAATTAATTCAATTCTATGAAAGATATGCAGCGTGTTACGCGGCGCTAGATTTATCATTGCAAAAAACTAATAAATGTAATAAATTGTGTTATAAATAGTGAAATATAACAAATCTGTTTAATAATCTAATTAATATATTCATCAATTCATTTAAGCAATTTTAACGCAACAATCTTTATCATGAATAAGCATTTGTAACAATTAAACATAAAATTTTATATACATCTTTAATTTTTATATAATAAATTCAATCATTACAATATAAATTTCTTTTAATAAAAAATTGATTAATTGTGACAATGTATTATTTGCAAAATACGTAGAAAAAAACTTAAGATGAATAAATATATCAACCGTCAAAGTGATAAATATATCAAGTATTGTAAGAATATTACATTTTTTTAAATGTCAATAATTAATTGAGCGGGATAAAAATGGCAAATTGGAGCAGGAATCGAAAAGCTTTCCGCTCTAAGGATACCGAAATCGATTCGTATGTATAATATATCCGCCCCTGGAAAGGATGCACCTCGTAACACAAGAGCGAGCTGCATCCTCTCGACGAATGAGAGTAGCCGTTTACGAATTAGCGTGCGCGCGGTACAAGTCTCGGCTAACTTGCAGGGTGTATCCTAAGCGAAGAAGGCCTTAGGGATACTAACGAGCGCGCGTGGACGCTCGTTAAGGTGGGAATGTGCAGGGCATCCCGCGTTAACGAAATTTACGAAGGCGGCCGGCTGTAACGAGTTCGAGGCTCGAGTACATGTTGCGAGGATACCGTCGAAACTCCTTAATCCCGCGATCGCGCTTGTTAAATGGCGCGTTTTTTTTCTACCATCACATGCGCCATATACGCATCGACAAAACTACCACGTTCGCATTTTTGACCTTGCTTCAATATCCTTTTTCGTTAATTTTATCTGAATTACGCGTTCCCTCGATCCTCGTCCAACGATGGTACGTCATTAAATGGTCGTATGTTCCTCGAAAATTGCAACAGAGAGAATGAAATATCACTACGAAGCACGAACAAAGTAGATGCAGACACACCAAGTGCATATCATACATGTAAGTCATCTTTAAAAATAATTCATGTACACGTTGTGCGAGAAAAGTGCAAATCTTATTTGGAATCTCATTAGCTTACAATTTCAAATGTTTTAACGAGGGAAAAAAAACAAAGCGAAGCGAACACGTCTTGTTTCGTGACGAAACTAGCTGCGATTTCATTCTAGCAAATAGCGGTGTAATATACCGGGAATAAATATAATTGGCTGGCAAGAATTTATAAACTTTGCGAGGGTATTTTGCCTCTCTCACTCGCTTCTCTGGCAAATGTCGGATTCGCGTTCAAGTTTATGAGGTGTTAACGTGTCGTTGACAATACGTCATTACGCTGAGTCTTCTTGATGGCCGGTCGGTTTCGCGGTAAATTTCTATTTAAGCGTCACTCGAAAAGCGCACACATACATCGAAATGGAAAGCCGCAAACGATAAGCGACAGTATCCTCGGTCACAGGAATCGAAATGGAAGCAAAAGAGCGTTCCAGAAAGTGCGTCTGTGAATAATAATTGGAGTTCATCGACAAAAGCAAATTCATTTGAACCGGTTTTAGCTCCAGCATATTTCATTGTGCATATAAATGTACATATATCTTAATAAAGTATTTAGATTCATAATATAAATATATGATACCCTTATACTTTTTTATATATTATAGATAAATATTATTTTCAATGTAATAAAATTATAGAAATATTACTTTCAATATAATAAAGTTTTATATATATACATATATTAGATTTAAATATTTTTACATTAAACATTGCATATGCATAATTATATCGAAAGTTTTTTAAATAATGGCATAAACTTTTTGGATAATTAATCAAATTAGATTTTATAATTTTATTATTTATCATTTTATCATTTATCATTTTATCATTTTATCTTTTACATGATAAAATAATAAAATCTAATTTGATTAATTATCCAAAAAGTTTATATGTCATCATTTAAAAAATTTTCGATATAATTATGTATATGTTAAAAATACTGAAATCTAATTACGCACATAAGACGGGATCTTTATCCTTAAAATGATTATTCTTTCGATGTACGCAAAATCGAATTGTATGTATATATAAGCTAATAATTTTTTATTTTTTCATTCTTTTCGCAAAAAGATTAACTATATAATGAACTTTAATAATTACTCTGAAATTGTCCTGTTGATCGAACTTCTCGCCGTTTATGAAAAATGATTCGCCATCTTGCCGAGGAAGAGAAAAGGCATCGGGAGAATCGATAGATCAATGATAATTAGTAATTCCATCGCTGCCGATGATTCTCTTGCTTCATCTGCTTTGAACTTCAATGTCACACGAGTTGCTCTCCTGTTATATAATGATTTTCCCTGTAATTACGAAAAAATCTTAACGACATAAACTCGAATTTATGATTCGCATAATTTCTAGCTGTGACGTCATCACAAGTAAAAATTCAATCGATGAAAATTGTCATACAACCTCGAATTAATAAGCGTTGGGTAAAAATAAATACGCGAAAGATAACATGAAAGTATAAATTAATACAGCAAATTCAATAAAATATTAAAAATATAAAGATGCTCACCCTAAACGGAGAATAAATTCATCGATGACCAAACGACCGTTCCTATCAAGTAATTGAATGTAGACGCTGATTAATTTGCAAAATGACCAACAGCAAAACTAAAAAATATCTGGATTAGACGCATTTAGTAGGGAAGTATCGCTTAGTATTAATCGAACGTGATTGGCTCTCGAGTAATTTGCCTTGTAAACTATCTCGACGTTGATTTGTCGGTGCTAGAAATGAGAGCCAATCACGTTTAATCGCTATTAAGCGGTTTTTTCGGTAATTGTACGACTGGAAATTTTGATATTGGTCATCCTGCAAGTCGATCAACCATACAGTTTGAACGTCGACGGTGAAAATGGACGCGAGTCGAGTGTTATATACGTGCGGCTAAACGTTGGATCGCATATGAAAGGATAAAGGAATCGGGAAGAGCGCGCGAAAACGTAGAAAGCGAAACATACGGGAGCGACGAGAGAGGCAATTCCGGCGAACCGAAACAAACAACGGTGAAGATAAAAGGCGGGAGGGACAGACGCCGACGAAACGAAACGAGCCGACGCGACACAGGCCGGCGGATCACCCTACGTAGGTACGATACGCAGGACTCGTGGACGAGAAGCATGCGAAGTACGCGCCGCGCGACGGAATAAAGGCCGAGAGAGAGGGAGAGAACGGCTGTTTCCCCGATAGACCCCGCGTTACCCGGCCGATGCCGGGGGAACCGAGGGAGCGAGAGGGGCGAGTAAGAGAGAGAGATCGAGGCCCGAGGTGGGTGACGTTGGCCGCGGAAGTGGAACGCGGCGAGGCCGACCAATGGGGCGAGCCCGTCGCGACGTCGCCTCGCGGGATGGGGGCGACCGAGGCGTTCCAGCGCGCGAGTTGGCGCGGCGGCCGCCAGATGGCGCGACCGTCTGCCGTCCGCGTCCCACCGGGATCGCCGTCGGGAAAGGCGTACGCGTCTACGCCCAGTAACGCCCATCGCTGGTTCTCCCGCCGCTTCCTCGCCGCAGACGTTCCGCGGCAACCAACTGGACAAGCAGGCCCGGTCCGGTTTCACGACGTCGCACAACGACTCCGTCGAAACCCGCGTCTATACTCCCAGCATCGCGGAGGGCTCCACGTTTTCACTCACACGAAGAGCGCCACTGACGTTCCTCCTCTTCGTCGCGTCCGGGATCGCGGTGATCTTTTACGCGACTTTCGAGAACCGTTGAATCGTCGATCGAGGACTCTAAAGTATGTGAGAGTGCATCGTATCGAGATAATATAGCGAGGACTTTGAAAGGATACGCTCCTTGCGCGGGCTCGCTCGATTGTCGATTAAATACAGGGATACCAACTGAAGATTATCCGTGCCACAGATGACTATCGAATTCGGATTCGAGGTACTTTGTGGTGTGATATTGTCAGAGAGTCGACGGGAAAAAATAAACCGAGGATGAAAGCGGGATGAAATATGGATAACTACTCGTAAGTAGCCTGCCAGCTGTCCGTCGGAATGAAGAGTGAGGTTATGGTTTAGCCGGTGACAGACGCTGATGTAACCGTCAGAAGTGTGATACCGCGAAAGAGAATTTGTTAAACGGAAGAATAATCTTAGGATTGTTACGTCATGCCATCCTACTCATTCATCATGTATGTTAAAAAGAAGTCTTGAAGATAGTGACTAAGACAGAAATCTGAGGATGACGTCGTTCGTCGATGCTAGACAGAAACTGAATACTTCCGTAAGGTAAATTGTTTAAAATGATATTAAACATCGAGGAAATAGTACAATCAGTTTAAAGAAATGTCTTCTTAGGAAGGAGAAGGCATCATGAAGACACGGCCTACGAAAGTTTCATCGTGATCGAACCGAGGGAACTGGGTCTGTCAATGAGCGAGGTGGGTGTCTTCTCTCAGAAAAAAATGTCGAGTACATCCCCGGCGCCACCGATGGATCTGGACACCGGGTCGGAATCGGAGACTAGGTCGAATCACCTGATCTCGCGGCTGGATCAGGATCCGGAGGATGCGGAGAAACGTGATCGGGCGCGAAGAACGGAGTGCAGCAACGCGGACAGCGACTGCGAGAGCGACACGAGCGAGGTATTGAGCGTAGGCAGTGAACCAACGCCGACCAGCGTGGTCGGGATGCGTGTATGCGGGACTATGAGGTACCACGATCAGGAATCCGCGAGTTCCGGTCGCGGCGAGTTCCGGGACGAGGAAAACATGAGAACGTCGGAGACACCGTCGCCGGCCAGCTCCACCAGCTGCCACGACCTGTATTATCAGCGCGCATCAAGTAATCACGTGTCGGCACCGAGTCCGCCCGGTTACAGTCAGCCACCGTCATCTCCTACGGCGTCTTCCGTCAGATCCCCAGCTTCCTCTTCGGCCACCGCCTCGTCGCCCGGTCGGCCGGAGGCGATTCAAGAGGCTATCGTACCCAGGTACCAATCTGGTCATCAGCAACATCTATTTTCCCGATACTCTTCCAGGGAATCTGAGATCTCCGATTATCCACCTCGGGTCCAGCACAATATTGGTCACGAGATCATTTATCCTACCGTAGAGAGGTTGCACCGTACGCACGTAAGCGTATCATTGGTAACGAGACTCTCGTTGTCACCGCCGTCGGCCATGACGGTCGCCGGACTCCAGGCGACAACACCTGGCGTTCTTCATCCCGCCGCCTGTAGAGATCCACGGGAGACTGCTACGTTGATGCCGCATCACAGCCAGCATCTGCACCATCCCAGTCCTCACACGCACCTACAGCAAGGCTCGCAGGTGCAGCATGTGCCGGCGAATCCAGTGCACCAGCATCGACTCTCGGTTAACAAGCTCCTGCAGCGAGACCCAGGAAGCCCGGTATCGCCAACCGGCACCAGGGAGGAGAACGGAAGAACTCCGGCTGCGAATGGTATCGTGCCGAATAGTATCGGCAACAACGGCAACCATCATCACAACAATCACAACAATAATAACAATCTGCAACATCAGGCGGGCCTGAAGTTTAGCATAGACAATATTTTGAAGGGGGACTTTGGCAGGAGAATCACGGATCCGATCTCCCTGAAAAAGTCTCGACCTAAAAAAGTGTCGTCGAGGCCGATCGATTTGACGAAGGACTTCCTGGAATCGTCCTCCGACGCGTCCGAGAGGAGCAGCTCGGAGCCGACGACGACGACGACGACGACCAACGCATCCCCCACCGGAATTTCGACCGAAAACACGACGTCCAAAGCGACCGGATCTACCGGGACCGATCCTGGGAAGATGTTGTGGCCTGCGTGGGTCTATTGCACCAGATACTCGGATCGGCCTTCCTCTGGTGAGTTATCGATGTCATTATTTAATGCGATTTATATTGAATTACGCAAAGTCATCTAGAGAGCATGACAGCAATTCATTCCGCGATGTTTTCGTTGATGAGAGTTATTTAAAAAAATTGTTTACCGAGATGTGCTAAAAAACGTGAAATTTATGGCAATCGCTCGTGTGACGCGTCACGCTTCCATTTATTACTATAACATATGATTTACATCGTTGCGCCGAAATACAACAGATTCGCGTTCTCACAATCTCATAAAAATTCCGAAAATATTTTGTATAGGTCTTCTTATTAATGTAAAGAAATATAAAAGCAAAAAATGTGTATAAAATAACGCGATATTAATCAACACACGCTATATATTTCCAAAACATAAGTGTTCAAATAAGATAGAATGATTGTTTGTTTACATAAGAGTTCTATAAAACGCAATTTCACGAGAAATAGCTTAATTTAATATTCAAAGATACAGAACGAATTATACAGGACATTGATTTACATTGTTGTGTTGAGTATGACCCGTTAGAATCTCATAAAAATTCCGAAAGTATTTTGCATAGATCTTCGTATTAATGTGAACAAATATAAAAGCAAAAAATGTGTATAAAATAATGCGATATTAATCAACACAAGCTATATATTTCCAAAACATAAGTGTTCATATAAGATAGAATTGTTTGCCTACATAAGAATTCTCTAAAACGCAATTTCACGAGAAATAGCTTAATTTAATATTCAAAGATACAGAACGAATTATACAGGACGTTGATTTACATTGTTGTGTTGAATATGACGCGTTACAATCTCATAAAAATTCCGAAAGTATTTTGTATAGGTCTTCTTATTAATGTGAACAAATATAAAAGCAAAAAATATGTGTATAAAATAATACGATATTAATCAACAGAAGCTATATATTCCCAAAACATAAGTGTTCAAATGAAATAGAATAATTGTTTTACCTACATAAAAATTCTCTAAAACGCAATTCTACGAGAAATAACATAATTTAATATTCAAAGATTGTACAGAACGTTGATTTATATTGTGTTGAATATGACAGATCCATGTTACAATTTCATAAAAATTCCAAAAATATTTTTTTTATAGGTTTTCATATTAATGTGAAGAAATATAATAGCAAAAAAATGCATATAAAATAACAATACGACATTAATTAACACTTAGTCATATATTCCCAAAATGTAAATGTTCAAATGAAATAGAATGATTGTTTGCCTACATAAGAATTCTCTAAAACGCAATTCTACGAGAAACAGCATAATTTAATATTCAAAAATTATACAGAACGTTGATTTATATTGTGTTGAATATGACAGATCCATATTACAATTTTACAAAAATTCCAAAAATATTTTTATATAGGTTTTCATATTAATGTGAACAAATATCATAGCAAAAAAATAATAATACGACATTAATTAACACAAGTCATATATTCCCAAAACGCAAATGTTCAAATGAAATGGAATGATTGTTTGTTACATAAGAGCTCTCTATAACTTTCTCAGAAATAGTGTAATTTAATATTCGAAGATTATATTATACGGAATATACGCGTTTCAAAAAATGACGAAACAAGCATTCATTGTTGGAGTGTGAGAGATTGCCCAATACTCGCGGATAGAATCTCTCATTAGGAGCTAGTATAATAGCTTCGAGTATCAGAGTGTATATAAATTTCTTAGTCAGAGAAGAAATATTTAAACTGCGAAAGAAAGAGAGAAAAAATGTTTCTCGCTATTGTACGAGAGAATGTTTGTTACAAACGGCTGCAATTTACTACTGTCACGATTTGTGTATAATACGCGCTCACATTCGCGGAATCGGTTGTCACGATTTTTAAATAATAATTAATTAAGCGAAACATATGGCGTGCGCGCACACATACACGTTCGTTGCAGCACTTGTGTGTGCTTTGGTAGGTGAATGATATACAACTGTTTAAATATGTAAACATATTTGGAAGAACGCGTTCGGGGGGAAAAAGAGAAAGAAAGAGAGAGAAAGAGTGAGCGAATAATCTCGTAATTTATAGCGGAATACGCGGTTTCTCATAGTTATACGTGTATAATAAATGATTTAAGATCTCCTTTATCGATTTCATCACGTTTAATTGATATATACATAGGATAACGCACATTTATCAGCAAAACATATGACTTGCCGCCACGGAAAAAGTAAAAATACACACAATATGACACTGAACAATTTGGTTACCTGTTTATGCGAAACTCATTTTGAACGAGTCACAATGTATTACAGCATCTTAAATTATTGACCGGACAGTTAATTATCATCTGCTCTCGGAAAGAAGTATGTCGGCATTATCGCCGCGTTTTTGCACCTTTCGCGCAGATAGATGGTCCTTTCAAGTGACACAGGAAAACGTGTAATTACTTTACTTCCCGGCCGAGTGCCGGTTGATGAATGATAGAAAACGTTTCTTCGTGTCATTCATATCTGATATACGCTTATTGTCAGGAAACAATAGTTAAGCAGTCGGAGAAATAGCCGCTCTCTGCCTCATAAATCAAGCGCAGCCATTTCTCATCTGGTATAACGCAAGTAACAATTTTCTAGGCGGATCTCCGAGACTTGTGTTATTGTGCAAAAATTAGATCGATAAATTTATATAATTGAAATTCATTTATCTCTCTCTTTACGTTACAGTTTATACAGCCTTCGCGTTCTATTACATTATAATGTACAGCTTATAAATCTAAAAAAACAATATAAATATATAAATTATTATACATGTATCTTTACACACTCTCTCTACTAGAACGCGATTACAATTTCACAATAACATATTTATTTCTGTATCGTGTAATTAATGTGCTATACGTGACGACATCTTTTTAAGTGAAAACTGCTCTCGTTACATCTCTTCATCGCGCGCGAACTTGATAATCGTAATGTATCGCCATTATGTCAGATCCGTTCATTATACCAAACACCGTGACGAATAGATAAATGCTCTCGCCTGGAGAGATATTATTGGATCACCTTTTGCTATTATGTCTTTACAACGCGTAATTCCGCGACAGGTAGATACGAGGCGCATATACACGAGTAGTTAAGACGACGACTATAAAATCTAATTACCGTAATTGCGCGTGTTACTCTCATGCGGCGGCTCATTGATATCACGGGTATTCTTTTTCGCGCGTTTGCGTGCGTTAACATCTAGCGATATAATCGCGACAATTTCTACATATATATTTACATTTATAGCGTCGAGAAAAAAGAGAGATGAACGAATCTAATCGGCGAATATTGCTAACCCGACGCATTTTATGAGACTTTCGTGCTCGTAGTAATTAAAATACGGCAAAGTTCCTCTCCCATTATTGGCTACTTTACCGAAGAATATAATTACGGTAAAGTATTTTCTCGTTACGAGCCTCGTAAACACATTGCGCGCTGCAATTTTCCTGTAAAGTATAATAATATAAATATCAAGCGCGTGTAAAAATTATTAGGCGCATTTTACAAGTATTTTCTTATACAATAAACTGTGAAATGTGTTTGTATTTGTATTTATATTTATATTTGTATTTATATTTATAATTATAGTTAAGATAATTTTAAATTAATTAAAAAATAAAATTTAGCAAAAATAATTTATTTATCTATAAGAAAGAGATTTAAAAAATATACTTGATCGATTATTATTTGCAGTTCGCACAAGGAATAAAAATTGTTTACAAATCACAGATAAAGACTAATTGATGAGATTAATTAAAGACAATTGTATCTAATGAAATATTACCGGCCTTTGTCGCGAAAACAGCAGCTTGAATAAGAGACAGAAAGGATACAATCAACATCGGCTATTGCCATTCTAGAGCAAAATTGCATCGCGTAATCGTAACGTGGGAAAGTGTGCGACGGCGATCGATCAAGCGGCGCGTTTACGCTTATCGTTTGTCCCGTCAAAAAGGGGACGAGGTCCGTAATAATAAAAGTTCCGCGCTCCGGAATATTGCATAGTTACATCCGTAATACGTCATCGCGATCGACGATATATCGAAGCGCTATCGAAAAAGCGCGAGGCGCAATAAAAGCCGGCGGTATCGCGCGCTAAAATCCATTCGGAAAGTTATGGCTAATTAATTTCGGGATGTGCAACGTCGTGTGCACGAGCCGATTTCCCGTTAACGAGGCTCGAATTGATGCTACATCGGGAAAGGACATTCGTCACGAATGCGTGGGTGGCACTTTGAAAAATTACGCGGAATGTTTTATATTTACCGATGGATATATTGACGTACGAACATTAAACTCGTTGCCTCGATCGCGCAATTCCACCAATAGCAACGCAGTGAGGAATCGCCGCGTAATTAACATTCGATGGACATTGATATTTTATTGTGTAATTATATATAAACATGGATAATATTTTATTGAAGCTTAAAAGAGCGCCGAATGTCTCGCGAATTGTTTGAAAAATGATTCTATTTCTAAAGAAAGACGAGCGATTCGATGATATCTGTCATTATTAATTGGCGAATAAAATTGGGATTGCGTTATGCAATTAAGGGAGCGATTGATTCGATAAAAAGCACATTATGCGGACATATCGAGTCTTAACGAAGTGTTCGCGGCGAAATAAAGAGGCATTAATTCGCGGATCTGGTTCCCGTAGCTTCGTTCGCCCCTCTCTCTTTCTCTCATGGCCGATCGATCGAATGGGACGGCTGATATATATGTACATACGTTATACAATTGGCATATGTACAGCCAGGCGTGCTTGCTCCGTATCGGGCGGTCTCGCGGGATCCATCGATCTCTTGTTAGGGTTAAATCGAAGGTGTCTCTCGTTCTTCGCGGCTGAACACGATAACAAACCAAGCCTAGAAGCACGCGTGGATCGCGCACGACGGCCCTGGAGGCAGTTACAAAACCTATGAATGGCTTCCGTCCGTTCCAGATATCGTAAAATGTATTTTCTGATAAAATTACGCCGTTTTCGT